CCTGGGCAACTTGGCAAGACCTCATCTCTACAATAAATCAAAAAAATTAGCCGGGCGTGGTAGCATGCGCCTGTTGTTCCAGCTACTCGGAAGGCTGAGGCGGAAGGATCTCCGGAGCCCAGCAGGTTGAGGCTGCAGTGGCTGGGAGCGGCCACTGCACTCCAGTCTGAGTGACAGAGTGAGACTCCAACTCAAAAAAAAAAAAAAAAAAGTATATTTTGTATCCATTTTTTTTAACCAGAAAAGAAAGAGAAGAAGTTATATACTGTTAAACCTGTGAGAAATCATCTTTGTCAGCTCCCTTGTCTTAAACACTGGGAAACTATGTCTCATAGAAGTTGAGAGACTTAGCCAAAGTCACACAGCTAGTCTGTGGTTGAGCTAACCCTAAAATAGAGATATTTTGATGTTCGTTCCAGTAAATGTTTTCCCATACCATACTTCTGGGATTGATTTCAGACTAAAGAATTTGTAAGAAATCTCTGGAATATTTTTTGCCAGAGGTCAGAGGGAAGGTGGGGCTCGCGTGACAACAGACTGTAGAATGTTTAGTCTATTAAGAGCTACCTTTCTTATCCTATAACAAAACACGATGCCCATGGTCTTTATGGATTTCCCCCCACTCATCTCCTTCCAGTCATCCATATGAGCTTTCCACACATTTTGCTGAGAAACGGCAGATGATTCAGGAGGGGCATTTTTCTGTGTGAGGCCCCTCAAACTTGTTAATGGCATTCTAGAGGCATTCACATTTGTGGGGTTCTGGTGGCACTCATTAAAAGCTTCTATTATACATTCACAGCCCCTTTTCTGATACCCACTATAGCCACCTGGGAGGTCTACTTTTCAGCTAAATTTTTCATCAGAGCTTTTTGGCAGATCACCTCACATATGTATATAGCAACCTGCCAAGAACCACCTTGTGTGAAACATAATGGGATAAAGAGCCAAAAGGTAAGATACAAAAACAATGCAGGAGTAGGGTTCAGGCTCAGCCCCTGAGCCTCCTAACACAGCCATCGACTCAAGCAGCACAGGTGTGTGTAATCAGAGTAAATTTAAGGCCCACAATTTGGAAGTCATGACACGTTATGTAATGATCTATCTAACTTACCTATTTCAGGAGTTAGCTTTTGTGTTTGGCCTTAAGTTACATTGAAAGCTTCATTTGATTGATATTTTCCGCCATAAGCACAACCTAAGCACAAGTTCGGGGGGGGGGGATTTTTTTTTTTTTTTTTTTTAATGTCACTTCAGGAAACATGAGTGCCCATGTCTGAAAAGATTTGACAGGAATGCAGGCTGCAAGGTTTTCTCTGAAGGGATGTCGACCTTAACCAGGCTGCCAATCAGCAGAGGGGGAAGCAGTGAGGGGTCAGTGAGGAGCTCAGTTAGCTGGATGGAGGCCCAGGTCTCCTTCACCTCAGAGCAGTCATCATGCTCTTCACAACATATTAATCAACCTTTATTTAGAATGTGTTTTCATTTACCCTCCATTTCCTCAAAAAGACATCAGATAGGTTTTTATTATTTACTTTTTCCATTTTCGTCACTAGCCATTTGGGGCAGCATTCATGCCAGTGAGTTGACAGCCCCACATCCTCTGGTAATAAGCCTCATAGACTGACCTTCGTAGACTTAAAAAGTCTAGAGACTTTGTGTCTCTACCTGGCTCCTGCTCCTCATTTGCCGTGTGACTCTGGACAAGCCATTTCAGTGAGCCCTTTTATCCTCTGTGTTAAGGGATGCTTACATTGAGCCAGCACTTGTGAAACTTTAGTATAGCTTCAGAAAGTAATGCAGAGCTCAGGGAAGGATAGTTGCCAACCTTGCCCAGATCTTTGGAGCTTGTGTTTCTTGTCCATCTTAAAGGGTGAGATGTTTGTTAAGGGTCCTTCCAACTAAAATGGTGTATTGTGAATGAGGCATCAACTGTGGCTGATCTGTTGGAGTCAAGACTTCCTGGTTTGGGATCATGGGCTTTAGAGCTTCATATAGATGGACTGAACTGAAAGCATAATGAGATCTCCTGGGGAGAGAAGGAAGGATGATCGGACTTAAGGAAACCTTTTCCATTGTATAGTGACTGAAATTGCCTCAAACACATCAATTCACTCTCAGAGTTTTTTTTATCCCCCCTCCTTTTGTAAAACCTGTTGAGGGCATTTTCTATATTCACTGCTAACCATCTTCAAGAGAAGGGCTGTATTAACTCTGCCTTGAAACAGGATCTGATTTGTTGACCTAATGGTATTTCTTTGAGAAAGTACCTGTTAGGATTTGTTGCTTCCTAAAAACACAATTTCCCAAATGTTCCTCTTGAGTGTGTATAATGACCCTGTTATATGTGCTGTTGTGGTTCTGTGGCTTACAAAGTTTGCAGCTGTCAAAAACACCAGTGGCCTTAAAAGCTCCTTTTCTAAAGTTTCATTCCCCCCTCCCCCACTTTATTGCAGAACTGATGAGTCATACAGTCTTTCAGAAGCCTGAAACTCAGGCAGCTTCAGATTGCTTACTAAATTTGTGAGCATGCCTAATGATGACTAAAGTAAATGTAGTGCTACTTTTTCAACTATTGCTGAAATTTTCAAACATACATACAAGTAGAAAGAACGGTATAATGAACTGCCATGTACCTATTACCTGAGCTTTAACAATGAACATTTTGCGTATCTTGTTTCCTCTATCCCCCTACTATATTTTTGGAAACATTTTGAAGAAGTCTAGACATCTTGTTTCTTTGTCCATAAATATTTCAGTATACATCTCCAGCTTATAAGGACATTTTGAAATATGTATAATCACCATGCCATTATCATATCTAACAAAACTAACAGCAAATCCTGTAATAGTCTGTCCAAATTCAGATTTCTCCAGCTGTCTCAAAGATGTCTTTCTAGAGTTGTGTTTTTGGAATCTAGCACTGTTTCTTAACACTGCTTTTATACTGGGAGATAGCATTTTTACATTGACCTCTTCAGGATTTGGGTACATATGTTGTACTGGTCACATTTATCATACTGAGATCATCTTAAGAGTCAGTTTACGAAGGTGATTAAGGACTTAAGAACATGAAAAGTAACCCACAGATTGGAAGAAAATATTTACAAAACATGTATCTGATTAAAGGCTTATATCCAGAACATGCAAAGAATTCCTACAACTCAACAATAAAAAAAACTACCCAATTAAAACAGTGGACAAAATATTTGATCAGATACTTCACAAAAGATGATATACAGATGGCCAGTAAGCACATGAAAAAATATTCAACATCACTAGTTGTCAGGGAAATGCAAATTAAAACCATGATGACATACAAACACAAACCTACTAGAATGGCTAAATTAAAAGCTGAGTGGAATCTCAAATACTGCTGGTGGAAGGTTATATTGTACCTTCACTTTGGAAATCAATGTGGTAGCATCTTGTAACGTTAAACATACATTTAGGATCCACAATCTACTTCCTAGTGCTTTCTGTCCAAGAGAAATGAAAACATATGTCCACTCCAGTATTTGTACTTGAATGTTTCTGGTAGCTTTATTAATAATAGCTTCAAACTGGGGGGGGATCCCACATTTCCAATCATTGTTGACTGGATAATGAATTGTAGTATCTCTCTGCTATGGAATACCCAGCAATAATATTGTGTACACACACACACACGCGCGCACGCGTGCAATAATCTAGATGAATCTTTAAAACTCGCTAGGTGAAAGAAATCAAACACAAAAGACTACCTACTAATAGGATGGGTTTTTTCCCCCATTTTTATGAAATTCTAGAATGTATAAAACTATAGTGACTGATCACTATAGTTCAGATCAGTGGTAGCCTGGAGGCAGGGATAGGGCAAGGCATTAACTGCAGAGAGGCACAAGGAAACTTTTTAGGGTGATAAATACATTCTGTATCTTGATTGTAGTGACAGTTACATGTAGTGGTTACATGACTATGTAAACTGCCAAGATTCACCAAATTGTACAGTTAATTGTACAGTTAATAAGCATAGATTGCTTTTTAATGGTGGTTAAGAACCATGGACTGCAGAGGCAAATAGTCTGCAGCCATTTGCTGTGTCACCTCGGGCAAGAAATATAACGCAAGACTCAGTTTTGTTTAGAGTAAAATGGAGATTATAGAACCAACCTAATGGGCGGTTGAGAGGATTACATAAATGATATCAAGGTAAGGGCAAAATGCGATGCTAGCAATTGTTAAATGCACACAAAGTGACACCTCAACATCCACTTCTTGAGTTTCTGAGAAGCTTCTATCTCTTTGTGCCGATTCCTAGTTAACTTTTCCTTTTGAAGGCTATCAGAGGGGGCAAGGTAAGTGACTGGGCTCTGGGGAACAGTTTTTAAAGAGAAAATAAATTTCAGCAGGCGTGGACTTGATGAACTAGGGCAGCTAGCAGCTCGTGGAAGCGCTGTGCCCTGCAAAGGTGGCTCCTCCTGGATGGTGCTGCAGTCCCAGCAGTTCTGAAGAAGTGAAGCTCCTTTATATAAGTGGCCTTAATCATGTAGTGCTGCTTGTTTACATCTGAAGGAGACTCAAAATGTGACAGCATTTGAAATAGGGGTGTTTTTTTTTTAATGAGTGTTTTACAGAACTGTATTTTTAGCCATGTTGGCTCATGTTATATAACCGAGCCGTCTCGTGGGACACTCTAAATAGAACTTGCAGTAGCAAGAGATGACAAAAACTGGTATAAGCTCTTTGACTACAGGGATAATCTAATTGTAGGATGATGCTCATGATACGGAAGTTGCCATCCTCCTTCCCTTGAAGAAATCTGATTCAGGCAGGGGACCTTCAATTTTCCTTTGCACACTTTTAATAGTTAAGTTCAGGCTTCCAGTTTGCCTTCCCCAAGAGTGAAGTGTGACACATATATGAGTTTTATTATCAAACAAGCATTTAGTGAGAGCTTACTAGGCACTGGGTACTTCCCTCAGGAAATGGTGAGTCTGATGAGAGAGAGAAGTAAACTGACCATGAGAAAATAATATCCTAGAGAAATGACCAGGGGCAAAGAATACAGAGAAGGAGGGAACACCTGGCATGTTTCTGTGAGGAGGAAGGGGATGGGGGAGACTTCCTGGTAGAGGCAGTAGCTAAGTTAAGATGTGGATGAATAGGAAAGGAAGACCTTCCCAGGCAGAAGGGATATGTATGGAAGCTTACAGGTTTTAACATTGATGTGACTGGTTATATCTGGGACAGAGAAATTTGGGGTGAGAGTTGGGACACAGATACGCCCAGGTAGGGGATTGGAGAACAGGTGATTAAGCCTGTTTTGACCTGTCACCCATACTCAAGGCCCTGCTTTGTCCTTCCAGGAACACTGGAGCCCCACTGGTCAGGACTCCTGTGGACAGCCATGCTTATCTCTCTGGCCATCGTCATTGCCCTCCCTAAGCCACATGGCATCCGGGCCTTAATTGCCTCCACAATTCTACGGTTGATATTTTCAGTGGGCTTACAACCCACGTTGTTTCTTCTGGGAGCTTTCAATGTAAGTATGAATATCTTAGTTGCCACTTTTTTGTTTGTGGGTTAATAGGAATCCCTTCCATTCTGGTCCTTAGAATCCTAGCCTGTGCTTTCAGTTCAGGAAAAAACCGTTGGACCACCTGTGAAAATAGCAGAAGCAAGAGCTCGCTACAAGTGGACATCTCGAGACCTCTGACCTTCTCATGGTACAGCTGGCATCATTTGGGCTCAACAATCTCTCTTTTAGGGAATATCCCTCTCAGGAGTTAGGCAGAAGAGTGGTAGCAACTTGAGATTTAAGTTAGTCTTGCCAATCTGGTCAAAGGTGTGTTGGGACAGGAGATTTAGCTAATAAGTCAAATGATCAGATGTTAACACAGCACCCACTTCTGGCAAGGGCCACATAGAAAAGATGGGAGAGGTAAGAGGGCCTGCAAAATAGGGATGGAGCAGGTAGAGAACCAGGGGCAGTTATTTAAAAGTCAGTGATGCCATTTGGAAATGCTGTTTTACTACCATTGAAGGATAGAAGCCAACTGCACCTGTGGGAGAATTCTTAGGACAGCAGGTAGAAGGCTGTAAACTGGAGAGGTTTCCTGGTGAAAGGAAGGGGAAAATTTGGACATGTGAGGCATGAGGGGTGGGAATCTAAAAATACCTTCTAGAGGTTTCTGCCTAGAGCATATAAGGAAGCTGAGGTCCCTATACAAAAATGGAAGTAGTATTGCAAAATAAGGATAATATAGTAATTCAGTGCAACAGTAAATGTCCCCAAATGGGTATTCAAATGACACAGTCAGCAAGGACTTTAGAGTAGAAGAGGCTACATCTAGCTGATGAGCTTGGGGGAGGAAGCAGGGTGGAACTCATGACATAAGGAATAGAGAGGGTCTGGCCAGAAAGCAGGGATTGAAGAGATAATTTTGGTTTTGGAGGCCCCGTGGGCCAGAGCAAAGCAGTGGGAAAACCAGGATACTATCGAGATGATAGAGTTGAGTTTCACCCTGTTTGGGGTTATGAAACCATGAGTGAGAACGGATCATGTCCACGTCACCTGGAGCACTGAATTTTGGGATAAAGCAATTGGGCTTCATCCTCCAGGTCAACATCACATGGGAAATGCTAAACACAAGTTAGCATTTAATGTTAAATACAATTAAAGGTTGTGTTACTACAGGATTTCTCAGAGACTAATAGACTAACATGGAGTATGAATCTCCAAGAAAAAGTAAAAGTATATTTGTTTCCCAAACTTGTTAGCCTGCAGTTTATTAAGAGTATCATTTGAGATTTGCGTTGTATAGTATATTTTGGGAAATGCTGTTCCCAGTGATGGGAAGTGCCTAGGGTGTTTTTGAGCCAAGAAATGGTATATAAAAGAATGATTCTTGAGGAAATTCATTCAGGAGTGGCATGCTATATGGATTCGGTGAGAAGGAGGCCATTTAGGGGCTGGGGTGGTGCTTTTGATTAGGTGTGACAGGCTGAGTCTTGGCCACAGTGGAGAAAGAAGGAGGTAAAAACTTAGCCAGGCTCGGTGGCTCAACCTGTAATCCCGCGCCTTTGGGAGGCTGAGGTGAGTGGATTGCCTGAGCCCGCGGGTTCGAGACCTGCCTGGGCAGGCGAGACCTCGTCTCTACAATAAATCAAAAAAATTAGCCGGGCATGGTAGCACGTGCCTGTAGTCCTGGCTACTCGGAAGGCTGAGGCGGAAGGATCGCTGGAGCCCAGCAGGCCGAGGCTGCGGTGGCCGGGAGCGGCCACTGCACTCCAGTCTGGGCGACAGAGTGAGACTCCAACTCAAAAAAAAAAAAAGAAAGAAGGAGGAAGGTGCAGACATCGGAGATGCGAAGGACATAGCAACATGGGGCAGGTGCAGTCAGAGCCTGACTCCTGAAAGCTGCATGCTCTGGGTCCTTTTCTTCAGATAAAGAGGGTATCACTGTCTTGATTGGAAGATGAAGGAGACAAGTGCACCTCCACATTTGCAGTCACAGACGCCTGGGAGAAAAATAATGTGGCCACCTAATATGAAGTCATGTGAAGATCCAGTTTTCAGCATGAAAATACATTTAAATTGTTGACTTACTGAGTTTGAAGTGGCAAGACATGCTATTAATGTTAGCTGTGGCATTTGGAAAAGCATGACCAGAATGACAGAGAGATATCTGTATGGGGAGGGGAACATAGACATTGCTTGCAGCAAGAGGAAGCTATTTTAAAAGGAAATATAAAATAATTACATAAATAACTAAATAGAAAAAGCTCTCAGTATTTCAGAGGTTGTTTTCTATGGACTGTCTAGTTCTTCTTTCTCTGGCCTTAATCATTCCATGGTTATCACTTTTTTAACAAAAACCAGTGTGAGGAAAGACTCAAATGAGACAATACCCGTTTATAATAATGTGAGCTGAGGGAAAACCAAAGCAGCTATAATAAATAATTGTTTAGAGGGAATGAAAAAAAGAGAGAGAAACACCTACCTGGAGTGTGCAAGAAAAGGAGAGGCAGCTGGAGACAGAGACAGAGAAAGACTGGTGGAGATCTGAGAGCTGAGGGAGGACAGGGTAGGTCTAAAGGCCACACACCGGGAAAGTGGCAAGAAGGGTGGGATGGGAGCCCTGTCACAATGCATGGAACTGTGATAGATGTGCAGAGCAGACAGGGGGAGACTACTGGGGCTGCAGAATCTCTTAGAGGCTTTACACAAGCTGCTTCTGTAGAGAGGTGGGGCTGGGAACCAGATCTGAGACTAACCAAGCAGAGTCAATGGGAAGTGGGGGTGGCAACCTGAGCCCATGACTAGGAGCACTTGCTGGGAAGCAGTGGGGGAAACCAGGGCAGAAGTTCAAGGAGGGAGTGAATTCAGATGAAGTGGATTGCTCTGTTATGACAGTAAGAGCCTAAGCATGTTTGACGTGCGATAATGTCAACCAAAGGGTCATCTTCCCCTTCCACCCCCCCCGAAACCCCATCAACACGGATCATCCACAATCAATGATCCTTTCCCACCGTATGAAAGACTCTATGCTAGCAAAGTTTAGACTATTGGAAACAACTGGCAGATTGAATGTTTAGCCTGTCTGAGACAGCCAGAAGTTCTCTGTGGGTGTTGGCTTCCTCACTTATCTGATTGCCGAGAAGCTCACTTACACCGACCTACCAGATTAACTGGCAGAATTTCCCCAGCACCTGTGGCCATGAGAGCTGGAGTAGCAGAAGGTAGTTTTATCAAGTGCATCCAAGGAGCTTTCTCTCTAGTATCCTCCTGAGTCACGTTTTCCTGTCAACATGTTGCTAGAGATGGACTTCCAGGTTTGGTGTTTCTCTCAAAGGTGGGACTATATTGTACAGCAGGTCAACTAGGAATTTTTCAATTGCAGGTGTCAGAGAGCTTAATCCGTGCTTGTCTAGGCAAAAGAGAAAATGTATTGGTTCATTCTGACCATGAAATCAAGAGCCTGGCTTCAGGCACAGCAGATACAGGGGCTCAGACAGTAGCATCAGGGCCCAGTTCCTCCTTCCATCATTCAGCTCTGTGTCTCCTGTGCTGGTGGTGCTCTCAGGGTCAGTAACATGGCAGCTCCAGAGCTTACAGACTCTTGAGTTCAAGTTCAAAATTGCCTTTTGCTGCAGTCCCAGGAAAGAGCTTAAGTGGATTATCATTGGCTCCATTTGGTCTTGTTGCTATCCATGAACCAGCCATTGTAGTGTGGAATATAGTATTGTAATAACCAGGTTGAACCCCCACCCAGACCCCAAGAATTGCTGTTCAGAGTGGGATGGATTCCCAAAGGAAAATTAAAAGTTATACACCCAGAAGAGAGGGCAGAGCAACAGAACTCATCCTGAAGTTCCTGTATTTTTTTCTACGAAAAGTCTCATTTTCCCTGTGAACTTAGAAGCAATGAAAGATAAGAACTGACCAGTTTTCACTAAATTGCAACCCACAGTGCCTCGAATGTAACAGATTCATAAAATGCTTTTGATCATGCTGATCACAGGGTTCGTGGATTGAGGTGACATCTTTGTTTGACTAACTCATATAAGAATGTTAGAAATGATTCGTATCTCATTTTCAAAATCATAATCTCAGCATATGTTAATTTTGTTTTTGCCATATAGAAATGCTACTTGATTACTGTTGCACATGAAGTTATTTGACTACCATGTAATTTGTAATATGCCTGAAAAGCAGAGTAATGAAATGACTTAGATCTGCAAAATGGTTCTCAGTGCCTTTGGTGGGCCCTCAGTGCAAAAGGAAGCTTTGGTTAGGGCCCAGTTACTGAAATACATTTGTGTGAAACTCTCCCTTTACTCTCGTGAAGAGTTTAGCACAGTCCATGCCATCTGACTGGCTCTCTCATTGTTCCCAGGTCTGCAATAAAATCATCTTTCTAATGAGCTTTGTGGGCAACTGTGGAACATTCACAAGGGGCTACCGAGCCATGGTTCTGGATGTTGAGTTCCTTTATCATTTGTTATATCTGCTGATCTGTGCCATGGGGCTCTTTGTCCATGAATTCTTCTACAGTTTGCTGGTGAGTACCTGGTGTCCAAATATTTCATATCTAGAAAACTAGAAGAGTGTCCTGTGTCCTCTCTCTCATCACAGACCCTTTCTTTTAATGGTGATTGGCATGCCTGGCCCAACAAGGTGGAAGCCCCCCTGTATGCTGCCTTTGGGGGATCTGCCAGGAAAGCTACACAGAAAACAGGTCAGCCCCAGGAAGCCGGGAGGTGCACCATCGCACTGTGTACCTTGTACATCAGATCTGTTACTTCTCAGTAATGGAAGATGCCTGCAGTCAGGTTCAGAAGATGCTCCCTCTCTATATATCTTTATTCTTCTTTATTTCTTCAACTCAGACAGCACTTATCTACCAGTCCTCAAGGGAGCCATTTCTCAGTGAAACATATAGTGACCATAAGGGTAGGAGTTGATTTTGAGGCCCCAAGGTTATGATAATGAGCACAATAGATTGATCCAGGAGACCTTTTCATTAGAAGTTATTTTGTTCCCATATGAGCCAAGTGTTTAATGTCTTGACAGTCTAAAAGATGAGTCGGTTCCATTACCTTCCTCCTGAGCAGGTTTTTAAGTTACAAATAATTGCTTACTCTTCTATAGTTAGAGGTACTCTAGACCTGTAGAGTTGTAGATAAGAAATCATTTCCTTGTCCTTACATAAAATTACAGGAAATATAAAACTGACCTATCAACAAGCAAAACCATAAAGAGCCTAAAAATATTAAAAAGTTTTGTGAAGATAAAAAATGATCAAGGCCTAAGCACTGTCTTAAAAAGTGGGGTGGACTTATAAAAGATAGAGCAAGGAAAGCTCTTCAGGGAGGTGCTGTCCATATGGTTTTTGGGCTGGTCGCTGAACTGTTACTTAAACTCAGTTTCCCCATCTACAAAATGAGAATAATATAAATCCCTCACTACGCTACTGTAGAGATTACATGCAGCTGTTCATGTAAAGGTCTTCGAATAGCATTGCCACACAATTGCTGTTACTATTGTCCTTGTCGTCCTATATTCCTTCTCCCATCCAAAACACCATAAAGAATTCACCATTCAGATCACCAGGTTTAGCTCATTCCATTAGTGGTGGATGTTGGCAAGCTAAAGGGATTGGATTCTTCTCCCTCGTCTTAAAATAAGTCTACTATATTTTGAAATTTTAGGCAAAGAGGCCTCGAGATATACTTGATTGCCATTGTGTGGCCTATTTCGATCACTCTGTATCAGAAATCTTTAGAGTCCTGTGTCTGTTTCTGAACCTTTTTGTCTCATGCAATAATGTCCCTAGATGGGGTTCCAGTTTGTGAGTTGGGAAGACCCACGTCTGCCAATCCAACAGATTCCTGTCCTCCCTCGGCAGGGAGGCAGAGTTCAGTTGGTGTCTCTTTCACCCCTGCTGGGGGGGGGGGTCTCTCCCAAGAGACAGGAGATTCCTCTTTAGACAGTGCCATCTCTCCCTGGTGGAGAGTTTAACTTTTCCCATAGTCTGACTCCAGTTGGCTTTGTTTCCTTTTCCGTTCCTTTGAGTCCTCTTTCTTTCATCATTTGTGATGCCAGCAAGTGCCAGTGCTTGATGCAGGGGATGTGATGGTGAGATGAACATCATCTCCACCCTCCTGGTCCTCACAGTCTGGAACACAGGAGTAACCACCATGTATTGAGTGCTCACTGTGTACTCTTCCCCTACATGCTCTCACTGCCACCTTTGAGGTCGATGGTATCTTTATGTTGTAGCTGAGGAAACTGAGGCCTGGTACGGTTAGATAACTTTGCCAACACAGTCAGTAAGTGGCAGAGGCAAGAGACCCACTCAACTCTGTTAATTGCCAAGTCGAAACCACCTTTCATCTGAGCATGTAAAAACGTCCCTGTGTCAGTGAAACTGGTATTTCATATTGCAGTTTGCATTTGTGCTTTCAAATCTCTAATCTATCACAGAAAGATAAGAGTTAACTCTGACTTCTGATGATGTTACCTGAGCTCAGTTCACTTTGAGAAGAATGTGGTAAAATCAAACTAGATTGTGGCTAGATGCCTCTCCTATTTGCTTTGGAGGATTTTCTAAGCCATCTGGACCTTTGCTTGTTTGCGGCCTCAAGGGATGTGCTCCTTTTGGTGTCAAAAGCAGTATTGAATGTGTCTGGTGAGAACCACAGAATACTGAAACTGTTCAAATTATTTCACTAACGAGGAAAGCCTGCCACCAAGAAATTGGGCTGCCTGTAAAGGGAGAGAGACCTCCTGCAGGGAAAACCCATGTATCACTGGGTTGTGAGAGCTCCCTCCATACCAGCAGGCCAGAAGGGAGGGAGGGTAGTCTGATGGTCTAATTCAAGTGCTGGGGCCCCCAAAGACTGGCTGGACCTGGTCTGGAGCCTGCATTAATAGAAATATTAACACCCAGAGATAAAAAATGTGCAAGGTTCAAAAGCAAGCAGTTAACAAAAGGAAAAAATCTAGATGGTCATTAAGCATGGAAAAATGTCCATCCTTAATGTTAAACAAAGATATACTAATTAAAACAATTGCGCGAGCCTGTATTTTAGGTGGGAAAGGTTAAAAAGCATGATCATGGCCAGACACAGGGGCTCACACCTGTAATCCCAGCACTATGGGAGGCTGAGGCAAGAGAACTGCCTGAGTCCAGGGGTTTGAGATCAGCCTTGACAAGTTGGCGAGACCTTAACTCTACAAAAAATTTTAAAACTTAGCCAGACATGGTGGTTCGTGCCTAGTTCTAGCTATTTGGAAGGCTGAGGGTGGAAGGATCACCTGAGCACAGTAGGTTGAGGCTGCAGTGGCCGTGATCATGCCACTGCACTCCAGCCTGGGCAACAGAGTGAGACTCTGACTCAAAAAAAAATTTTAAAAAGGACAAAAGCTTGACCATGCCCAGTACTAGTGAGAGTGGGGTAAAATCAGAATCATTCTTTACTAATGGTGAGTATAAGCTGATACTTTAAGCAATACGTTTTTCTTATAACATTTGACCCAAAGATTCCATTTCTGGAAATCAGCTAAAAAGAAATAACTAGATAAGCATGTATAGAGGCACATACAGAGGTGTTCATTACAGCATTAGTTATAATATAATTGAAAACATCTTGACTTTAAAAAAGAAAAGGTATTGGATATGCTAATTGTGTTCTTTCCCATACAGTGAGCTACTAGGTGATCATTGTTGACAAAAGAAATTAATAATGGCTCAGTGAAAGAGGCTGGCTACATGCCAGTATTATAGTCTAATATTCTTTGTAAAAATATGTGTTACATTTTTAAAGGCCAGAGGGAAATAAGTTATTGAGTGAATGTCTATAGATGGTAGAACTCTTAGCAGTGTTTTTTCTTTGTGCCTTTCTGTGTTTTCCAAGTTTTCTCCACTGAGCGTGTGTAATTTTCTAGTTAGAAAAAAGCTATTTTATATATAAATAGTGCCTTCTTATTGTTTTAAAATCAGAATTATATAACAGATGAGTGAAAAGAAAAAAATCACTTGTCATTTCAGTGGTTTGGAAGATATATAATCACTATGGTTCTTGGCTATAGAAAACGAGTATTGTTTATTGTCTGAAGTTGCTCTCACTTGCCGTATATTCAGTTACGTTGCTGGAAAATATTTAACCAATGTTAACAGCAACACTTAGCCTTCTGTACTCGTACATTGACTAAAAGCCTCTGGCTTTTTTTAATGAAAAAGCATCCTACTTTACCCAGTCCCCTTCACAGAACTAGTCTCAGGACACAGATTGGTGTTAGGAAGGTAGAAAAGCCAATTGACCAGAAAATGGCATCGGATGTAAAATTCTAAATTGAAAGGGACTCGGTGATCAACTGGCTCAGTCCACTTATTTTACAGATGAGGAAACTGAGGTCCAGCGAGCTTAGACGGCTCGATCAACATCTTGTAACAAATTAATAGCAGTCAGGGTTCAAATCCTTTTCCCCTGACTTAGTTCACAGTGCACATTTATACCCAAAGCCACAGTGAGGACAAACTCTTCTGGAGAGGATTAGATGTCAGCACAAGAGACAAGTGTTAAAAACTAGCCTCAGGTTCAAGAGTAACTTCAGAGAGCTCTCCTTTCAACTCTCCCCATCATTCCCCCAGCCAAATATCTGCAATTGTAGTTCTTGGAAAAGTAGCTATTATCTTCCTATTCCTATATGTATCTCTAGGGAATCTCCATTCCTCATGAAGCTGATTTCGTGCAAAAAACAAGTCCCTTAGCTGAGGGCAAGCCTAGATTGTGAACACTGTGACTTGTAGGGATCTTCCCCCAACTGGGGGAGGGGAGTAAGGGTTTAGCCTTCCTGGTATGTTACCACCACTAATATCCTAGCTATGTGACCTTGTCCTAGTCTCTACATCAGGAAATTAATGATAATCACCATTTATTGTACCTGCTCAGTATAGTATATATAGCTCAGTATAGCATAGTGCCCATATGCTAGGCACTGTGTATATAGTATTTATTATTCACAATAACTCTACATCCTCCAGTCTACAAATGAGAAACTGGGACCTCAGAGGAAATGGGGAAAGTACCTAGCCCGAGGGCATGTGGCAGTCAGTAGGTGAGCTAAGATTTGAACCTGTATCTAAATCCAGAGTCCTTGTCGCCGACAGTGGCTTACAGTATGTCTGCCTTCCACTAGACACTCAGCTCCAGGAGGGCAGGGACCAGGGTGGCTGGCCCTTCATAGAGGCACACTGAATACTTCCTAAATGAAGGGATGCCAGGACCTTCATTACTCTCCTGTCCCTTTCTCTCTGAAACTCATTGGCACAAGCATGTATTTTCTCTACTTACAGGCCCTCTAAGCTGCTCTGGATACTACTTGAAGTTGCTATTATTTCCTGCCTCCCTCTTCTGTTTTTCTTTTTCCTCATTTTTACCCTCTCGGTTTTCACTGCTAAGACAGGCAAGATGTTCAGTATTGCCTGTCAAGACCATAATGTAATGTTTTTGAGTTTCCAAGAAGGTGAATGCTCTATCAAACAAGTTTTCATTATGGGATGTTGATGTACATCTTATGTAGAGGCTTCTTAAAATTGTCCTATCATCTTCTTTTTGTTTGTTTTCAAAGCTTTTTGATTTAGTGTACAGAGAAGAGACTTTGCTTAATGTTATTAAAAGTGTCACTCGCAATGGACGGTCCATCATCCTGACAGCGGTTCTGGCTTTGATCCTGGTTTATCTGTTCTCAATAGTGGGCTATCTTTTCTTCAAGGATGATTTTATCTTGGAAGTAGATAGGCTGCCCAATGAAACAGCTGTTCCAGGTGAGTTTGGGATCTTCTAATCTTTTTAATGTTAAAAGAATATTTCCTGATTATAAATGAAATAAAATAATGACTGTGGCAATGTAGCTATCTCCCTGTTGTATCTCCCTAACATGCAGACTATGAATTTTGAATACAGAGCTTGGTTCTTGCTTTACTCAAAAGGCAGTGCGGTGTATCAGATGCTAAGGATAAGCGGCCAAATTTTATGTTTAACTTACTCACTAACATATTTTAAACTAGTACAACTTTTTAATAATGCAATATGACCATATATATTAGAAGCATTGGAGTATGCATCCCTTTGGCTTACTAAATCTACTTCTAGGAATTTATACTTGAACGAAAAGCCAGCTGACTGTGCATGTAAAAACAGACTTATATGGAAGAATGTTACTCCAGTATGAAATTGGAAGCAATGTAAATGCAAGGGGGTGTTTCATTAGATTATGGTACCTCCATGGGGTGGAATACCCTACACATAGGTATATCTATATAAGCCTTCATGGGAAGATACCCACAAGAAATAGTGGGCAATGGAAGAAGGATAATTATAGTAGGATCGCATGTTTGGTTTTTTTTTTTTAATTAAAATACTCACATATGTTAATATAAGAATGACTATATCCCCACACTATGAGCAATGGCTATCTCTGGGGCTTTTTTATTACATGTAGGTCTTACAATGAACTGGTGTTTTCTTTTCACATATAGCAAGAACATATTTCCAATTTTGAGAATGAAAAAAAATTACCATATACTTGAGTGATACCCAAGTGCTCTTTTCTCTCAATTAAAATGGTTGGCACTACTTAGTGAAATATTACTAGTTTTTCATCTAGTAGCCAGGCACCCTGAGTCCAAGCAACAAACTAGAATTGTTGTGACTGACAGAGCCAGGCCGTCTTTGGTTTATCCCTCCCAAGTGCTGTGTTCTTGGCATGTAACTAACTCTAGTCTCCAGTTGACACTAAGTGATGCTTACTGCCTACCAACTTAGGGTTCTGAACTAAACTGGTCTGGACCTTAGATTTCCATCAGTGCTGCTGATGCTTCTCATGCAGAGTTGGTATAAATCTTGCTGGAGTCTGTACGTTCAGTAGTATCTGTCTAAGAGTTTCAGCTGTTTGTCCTTAAAGTTGGAGAGGTGCTATTTAAGTGCGATATTTCTAGTAAGCCTACAGGAATTGACATTTTTGGCTTTTTTCCCATCCAGATCACCAAATGAAAGTGTAAATTACATCTCTGCATTGAATTTATATGCAGGATTCTAGGGTGTTATTTATGTAAAGAATTGTTTAATCAGCCGTGAATTGGGGACGTCAAACATTTTAACCATATGCTGCCAGATTGTTCATCATAAAATTTCCTTCTTTCTCCCAGAAACTGGCGAGAGTTTGGCAAGCGAGTTCCTGTTCTCTGATGTGTGTAGGGTGGAGACTGGGGAGAACTGTTCCTCTCCTGCACCCAAAGAAGGTAGGACCCCATAGCCTTAAGCTCCACACTAGTATCAGGCTCCTCTAGCGGCTTAGATGATGCAGGTGATAGTGGAAGCAGATGAAGGCAAATTGACTGCTCGGAAGGTAGACCTTGACCAGGCGCAGTGTCTCGTGCCTATAGCCCCGGCATTCTGGGAGGTTGAAGCAGGACAATTGCTTGAGCCCAGGAATTTGAGACTAGCCTAGACAACATAGTAAGACTTCATCTCTACAAAATAAGAAATGAAAAAAGGTAGCCATATGTGGTGGTGTGCATCCACAGACCCAGCTACTTGGGAAGCTGAGGCAGAAGGAAGGATGCCTGAGCCCAGGTGGTTGAGGCCACAGTAAGCTGTGATGGTGCCATTGCACTCCAGCCTGGGTAACAGAGTGAGACCCTAGCTCACACACACACAAAAAAACAACCACACACACACACAACAAAAAACAAAAGCACATTTGTGTAGATAATGATTATGAGGAAGGAAAGTAGCAAGAAATGAAGTCAGAGACATCTAACGAAGGACTAGAAGGTCTGTCAGGCTGAGAAGGTTAAACTATATCCAACAAATGACTGGGCATTGTTGAAAGATGAGTGAGGTGTGTTTTAGCAAGACCACTGCTATGCAGCTGGAGAAAGGAACATAGTGGGTAGAAAGGCATGTTTCTTCCTCTATAAACCCGTAAGAATGAACAGCCTCCATTGTGAAGCAGTTTATCTAGAGGCCCTGCTGTAAATTGTCACTGGACTTAGTCATCACGACATCCCCAAGGAGGCACGGCATTGCCCTCATCTGAGAGACAAGAGGCCTGTGGCTAAGCAACTTACCTGGTGTGACCGGCTGTTCACAGCTGGGACTAGAGTTTACGATCCGAAAAGGTTAGGGAACATATTAGCTTTAATAGAGGAAGGGCAACACTGACATGGCTTGAGAAATGATCAGGGGTTCGTGATGAAAACAGAATTGCTCCCGACGACTTTAGCTTTTGAAAGAAAGAACTTGGCTTTTATTCCTTCATGTTTTTTCTTGTGCCTTTCGGCTGGCGAGAAGACATTCAGGAAACATAGTTTCAAAACCCTGGTATCGCTTTTCCCCTTGTGTTTTAAATCTGCTTTTACTTGTCCTGTCCCTAGAGCTGGTCCCTGTGGAAGAGACAGAGCAGGATAAAGAGCACACATGTGAGACGCTGCTGATGTGCATTGTTACTGTACTGAGTCATGGACTGCGGAGCGGGGGTGGAGTAGGAGATGTGCTCAGGAAGCCATCCAAAGAGGTAAATTAATCCCCAGGGGAAGGAAGGGCAAAGGGGGCGGGTGGGGTGGGTGGTGAGAGCAAAACGCAGTGGTGTTGAGTGTAAACTGAAGACGCAGAGGAAGGGCTGGGAGCGCTCTGAGCAGCTGTGAGGAGGAACTAGCTCATCAAGGCGCTTTCTGCCTGCTGATCTGCAGAGAGATCATGGCATCTGCATTCAGGAGACTTCAGGATGGTTCCTCCAGGGTTGGGTCTGACCTATCCAACACATGTCCACAACCCCTTCTGGGGGTGTCACGCAACACTGGCAGAATTAGTTTTGACACTGAGTTTGAAGAGACACAGTTGTGGGTTTTACCATTTAATGCCCAATTTCACTTCTGCCTAAGTAGACGTGGGTCTCACATGAGCTGTGCCCCAAGCTGTGCACACCAAAGGCTCTCGAGGGAACTGATTCATTCAGATACTTCTCTTTTTCAGGAGCCCCTCTTTGCTGCTAGGGTGATTTATGACCTCTTGTTCTTCTTCATGGTCATCATCATCGTCCTTAACCTGATTTTTGGGGTTATCATTGACACTTTTGCTGACCTGAGGAGTGAGAAGCAGAAGAAGGAAGAGATCTTAAAGACTACGTGCTTTATCTGTGGTGAGTGTCACCAGCTGCTTCAGCAAGGGAGTGAAGGCCTGGCTGGCAGAGACACATGGAGACAGAGTGCATGTGCGCCCAGTGTTCTGTGGGAGGGGGCACTGGCTGCATCTTCTTGGCTCTGCCCTTGGCCTTTATTCTTCTGGGAAGTAGTTTGAGCACTGATGAATCCTGTGCAGCGGGGCCAGTTTGGTTTAAGGAATGAAGTTCTGGGGAGCAAATATGTGACCATACATGATTTAAAACAAATGCATCTCAGATCTTTCTGCTGTTGGACTGCCTGGGCTACCCTCGGTTTCTAAGTAAACTAGAATGGAGATCTTGCGTCCAGTTCCAGTTGGTGGATGTCTTCATTGTGAATAGTGTCAGGCTTTAAGTGAACAAGTATTCCCCTTCGAATATGGTGAAAGCGTTCAGCGCTTGGGCTCAGGAGTCAGACTCGGGTTCTGATTGGATTTCTGCTGCTTACTAGCTATGTAACTATGATTAAGTCACCCAACTTCTCTGAACCTTTTTTCCTCATCTGTAAAATGGGTATATTAGTAAGTACTTCTCTGCATTAGTGTGAGAATTAGGAGAGAGAGCTTATGTAACCCTTCTAGCATAGCACCTGGCACGTTGTAGGCACCCCAGGACAAGCAGTGAACTGCTACGTAAAAGAGGTCCCTTGGGGTTCCAAAGAAATCATTTTCAGAATAATTATAGGAAAACATATGTAAATGTAAATAAATTATATAGGAATCTGGGAGCTGAGTAATCATTTCAGGATTATTCATCATATAGTTATTAAATATATACATTTTCTACTGATATATATATAGTTAAAATGAGCATTTTCCATTTATTAAGTTCTTTACTTTTTTGCCCCCAAAACCTTTTTAAGCTTTTTATTTTGACATAGTTTTAGAGTTACAGAAAAGTCATAAGGAATTTCTATATACTCTTCACCCAGATTCCCCAAATTTTAACTTTATCTCATTTGCTTTACACACACACACACACACACACACACACAGTTTTTCTGAGCAGTCTGAGTGTAAGTGGCTGACACAATGCCCTCTTGTCCCTAAATATTTTACTATGTATTTCCTAAAAACGACATTCTCTTATATATCTACAGTATAATAATTATCAAGATTGGGAAATTGAAACAGATACAGTACTGTTATTTTTTTAAAAATTATTTTTAAAATGTGAGGTACTGGAGTGCAGTGGTACAGTCATAACTCACTACAGCCTCGGGGGGGGGAAAGTGAGGTACAAATGTCAGGGTTAGATATACAAATGTTCATTATGCAAGTACCCTTGTTGATGAGGCGTGCCCCTCCCTCCCCTGGCAGTTTCCCTCAGCTGCCAATCCCACCCTAGAAACAGTACAATTATCTATAGACTTTATTCGGATCTCACCCTGCATTCCAACAGTGGCCTTTATTAATCCCAGGTCATGTGTAGCCTTAGTCGCCATGCCTCTGTAGCCTCCATTGATATTTTAGAAGCATATAGTGCAGTTATTTTGTAGACTGTTCCTTGTTTTGGATTTGTCTAATGTTCCTCATGGTGAGATTGAGGGTATACATACACATATATATATTTTTTTTCAGGAATGTCAAAGACATGTTGTATTCTTCTTATTGCTTCATATCATGATGCCAGTTCATCTTATAACTGGTGATATTAACTTTGATCACTCGGTTAAGGTGATAATTGCCAGGTTCTCCACTGTGAAGTTACTCTTTATAGGGAAACACTTTGACACTTTGCAAATATCCTGCTATTCCTTATATTAAACTTTCATCCACTGGTTTTAGCATTCATTGATGACTCTCACCTGAATCTATTATTATAATAGTCAAATGATGATTTTCTTACCTTATTATTCTTTCTTACATTTGTCAATTGGCTTTTTGTTTTAAGAAATAATTTTTTTATTCTCCCCATGTGTGTATATATTTGTATGTGTGTATTTGTAAAGTCTGGATTTTTATTTTATTCAGGGAACCATAATCCTTCACTATCATTATTTATTTTGATGTTCACATTGCTCCAGATTTGGCCAGTGAGAGCCCCTGCAACCTGGCTTCTGTGTAGTCATCGGTTTCTATGTACTTTGTTACTTGTTTGGCACCATAAGATATTCTGGGTGTTCCTTTCCTGACCCAGCCCTGGAATCCATTATTTTTCCCAAAAGCCCTGGTTCTTTTCAGTGGAGAAGTATATGTAGAAGCCAAGCTCTGGGGACTGGGTGTGCTCATTCCTATTGGTGTGCCGCTGTTCCCAGGGCTTATTAGAGTACAGGCCTAGAGGACATGTATACGTGTATGCAAGTGTATGTTGATACACACGCAGGTGTATTTGCACACCTGTATCTATTTGTATATACATATGAAAAAAGATGTTACTGATACCTTAATTCCAATTCAGTTATAGGGTTTATTCTGTCTTTCTCCCTTTCCATATCTGTATGCCTTTTGGTGAAGAATCTGGCTCTCATTGTCCACAATGTATCTATTTATTTTCTCAGTCCTAGAATACAGAAAAACTAGTTTCAGAATCGCTCACTCAGACCTCTTCAAAATACAAACTCACCAGCTAGAGTTCAAAATTGGTTTAAAGTTCTTTTTGTCTTTATTCTGTTTTCTCAAAAAACTGTAGCATGTCTGTGTTTTGGCATCTTCCTGGGCAAAGGGACATCACGTTCACTAGTAGCCTGCCATGTGTGGGTGTGTCACGTGTTCTCATTTAACCCCTAAACACTCCTGGAACCCAGATGGCAGTCTTCCCATTCACTGACAAGGCCACTAAGCACAGGGAGATGAAGCAGCAACTGGCAAGTGGCAAAGGTGGGATTCAAACCCAAGTCTGTCTGACTCCAAGCCTGTGTGTTCCTGCCACAATACGAAGTGAGTACATTTATAAGGCCCACAAAGTTCAGCTCTTAACTCTTTATGAAGATAGGAGTGAGACAACAGCCTCCTCTATATTGACAGTTCTGTCATGCACTATGACTGCTCATTTGGGGTTGGGGACTTTCTATTTTTTTAGGCTTGGAAAGAGACAAGTTTGACAATAAGACTGTCACCTTTGAAGAACATATCAAGGAAGAACACAACATGTGGCACTATCTGTGCTTCATTGTCCTGGTGAAAGTAAAGGACTCCACAGAATACACCGGACCTGAGAGTTACGTGGCAGAAATGATCAAGGTGAGTGAGCCTGCTGCCCTGGCTTCTCAGCTCTGAGCATAGTCCTGGCAGCCAGTGGGATAGCATCTAATGTTGACTGGGCCCTTCTCATGGATGAGCACCATATTCTGTGAACTCTGTATGTTCTCTCCAGTGATCCTCAGAGACAGGCAGTGTCAGCCTGTTAAAGGAGGAAACATTGAGGCTCAGAAATAATAGCACATGACCATGGAGCTGGGCTGGGGTTTTAACCTAGAGCAAACTCTGTCACCTGACTTCTCATCGCTATGTTAATCTGCCTCTCTTCTTGAAAATGTTGTTTTTTCTTTTTCTTCTTTTTAAATAAGACCTGATAGTTCTAAGAGGTGTCTTTAAAAAAAGATGACCATTTGGTGTAGTTCGGCATGATTCGCGTTGGCCTCAGCCTGGCCTTTCTGGGAGATGCTTTGCTAATCATCAGGAAGCAATCGTGTGATGGAGGAACTGGAGTCCCAGATTAATCTTCTTGTTGATGGGAAGTGTGACTACCATGTCCCAGGAGGAGGGGAAGCTGCTGCAGGTTTTAGAGAGCTCTTCCCCAGCAAGGCTTTGCGGAAGCACCAAGCGTGTGCTGCGAGAGTCCCGGGCCAGCTGTCCTTTCAGACCTGTGCTTTTTGAACCTCATTAAAATGTGCAGGGGCATGTGGTAAAGTGAGGAGGCATGAACTGTGAAGTATAGGAGACTTCATGAGCTACACTCTGAGGAGAAGGGGGGCTGCTAGCTACTGGGAAAGACTATACAATTCACTGACCCTCCTTCCAATTACCAAGGATTGAGCACCTCCCTGATAATGACTTCTCCTAAGCAAGCCTGTTTTTACGCAGATGCAATTTTTAAACTTTTTATGTAAAATACTGGCAGTCAGGTCTATTCAGATAAGTATCACCATTGATATGCCTGGAGGCAGGCAGGCTTTCAGTTTTAACTGCCGGCAGGGCCACAATCACATGGCAGTGTTTCCTTAACACCCCTATCACACAGGCTCAGAGGCCTCTCCTGGGTTCTGGAGGTATGGTGTCATCTGTACCCTTCAGGTCCTTAGAGTTTAATTCCATGGTTCTCAAATTTTAATGTACATATGAATCATCTAGAGAACTTGTTAAAATTCAAATTCTGACTCAGCAGTCACTGCCAGAACTTGAGAGTCTGCATTTCTACAACCTTCCAGGGGATGCCAGAGCTGCTGGTCCATGAATCACTCTTTGAGTAGTAAGAGTCTAACAGAAGAGACAAAACAGATACAGATTTAAGAAATTACTATCCAAACTGGTTATGTAAATGATGAGAAACATTTCTGATCCTTTACATGTATTTAGCCCTCTTCAATTTGTGAAGTTCTTTCACATCTAGTATTATATTTGGTCATTAAAATCATCCTCGGTGGGGAACCAGGAGAAGGGAATTTCTGGGATGAGGAGAAATGGATAAGGGGTCACAGCAAAGAAAGCTTTTGAAAAGGGTTTTGAAAGAGAAAAGGGTGAAGCAGCAAGGGTTATAGATTAGCAGAAGGGAAAAAGAAAAAAGTCAACACAGAGAAGGGGGAGAAAAGATACAAGTTCCAGAATGAGGGTGATGGGATATCCCCTTTTACAGAAAAAGGGCTGGAGGTCAAGTGACTTCCCAGGATTGCAGCCCAGGTGTGACTAACTGGAAATCACACTCCATGATCACACTGCAGGAAGGGTTCCAGTGATGCTGGGCCACATGAAACAGACTGTTTCTAAGCAGATTAGGCACTCTGATGGGTGGCAGCACGGATTTCCCCAGGTGTGGTTTCCAGAGTCAGGATCCAGTAACTCAAAAGTCCTCACATTCTTTCTTTTCCTCCAGTTGTTGACCCTGTCAAATAAACCCTATTTTATCAGTATTCATGCTGACAGAAACCTGTCCACATGCACTCATTTGCACTCAGTGTCTTCATGTCTAGAGGAGGTTTGTACTATCTGCCCTTGTCTTATGTTCCTTTTCTCCTCACTTTGTTCTCTTAAAGTGTTTGAATGGGCTGCATCTTTAAATCTTCCAGGGACCCATTTTGAAGTTTTCTGTTAATCACCTTACTTTCCGGTCACAGAAAACTCTTTAGCGCACTTTTGAGTTTCTGTCTCAATCGTGAAGACTTAAAGGAGTCTTGTGAGCAGTCACTTGATGAGGATTAAGAGCCAGAGTGACCTCCAGCCTGCCACCCAGCCCGGTCAGAGCCCACTGTGCGGCAGTGCTCTGGGAACCCTGGCTTTTGGCCTGCTTTCCCCATCCGCATCATTCTTTGTGTGAGATGTCAAAAAGCCTAAAAATCTGAAGCATCAAAGAATTCTTAACTCTGAATGTTAAAGTTGCTGAGGAACCAGATGTTCTGTGTGCTAAGCCATGGCTCAGAGAAGCATCAGATTCACCAGCTGCATGGCAGTGCCTTTCTGCCGTCACTGTCTTCAGTGGTGTTTAGTCTTAAAGCCACATGAATCCCTACCGGGAACTCCTAGGGATCATTAGCCATAGTGAGGTAGGAGCTGGGGTGCTCAGCAGAATCATTCGGCAGGGCATGGGGCCCTGTGGGATCTCAGAGCTTCGGGGCAGAGGCTACAAGCCCACACTCAGGAGGCAGCCACAGCCAAGTGACAAGGTCCCCACAAGCTTCCCTCCTGATGGGGGAACATCCTACCTACTGCTTCTGGTAGGGAAAACAGGTGATGTCTCCGATGAGCCAATTCTAGGAGGCTGCATTTACTCCAGCATGGAGGACAGAGAAGGAAACAGCTGTGAGCAGTATCAGAGATGAAGGGACAGACAGGCTGGAGGGCTCACTACCCTCCTGCTCACCACATGTTCCCAAAAGAAATCGTTGAGACAGGCTCTTTTGGGGCATGTGGTTCTCAGGAAAACCACCCCTTGCCTAATGGTGGAAGGCTGGTCATGTCTGGTTCTTCTGCAACTGTCCTTTAACCCGTAGATGAAGATCCCAGAGACTCCCAAGACATGTGAAGTCACAGTTGCCAAAAGGCAACCCAACAGAACCAAGTGCAAAAGCCCTCAGGAGGTCACTTGAAGTGGAAGAGCATCATGTCTGCTCTGAGAGCAGCTCCCTAGAGACAGCGGCCTCATGGGTGGCAAATAGGTTTTCATCTCAACCAACAACTGGTTAGTAGAATCTGCCTGAGGCTCTGTATTGAGAAGGATTCTTGGAAACCCAGGCTGACTTGGAGAGGTGACGAGTCATCTTGACAAGTCATGAATGAAAGGAGTGAGCAGGTGGCTGTTGCAGAGACTTGGCCCTCCCTGCCTAGACCCATGTCCCAGAGGAGGATTTCCTCCTTTGGTGGCTGCTCAGCTGTATGAAAACACAAGACAGCCTTGCTAGATCAGATCCATCACTTTCTAATTCCTTCTGGAACTGGCCTCCAGTTGAGGTGATAGGGCCTCTTCTCTCTAAACATAGACACATGTTTCTTGCCATGCCTGGAGGGAGGCAAAGAAGGAGCTGTGAAGGAACTCTGTCCCACAGTTGAGTGCTGTTCACCCACAAGCTCGTTTTGTTTCAATACTGTAGAAGATCGTATATTCTCTTCTCTTTCTGGTCATCCCCTTTGCTTTCACTGGAGATGAGAACATCCCTGGCAAAGCCAGGGCCAGGCTGATGCTTACCATGAAATCATCTCTATCCAGGAACTGGAGGCACAAGACCCAAGGTGAGAGATCCCCTCTGCTCCTTCCGAGCCATGTGACCTGGCAAGTCACAGAACTTCACCAACCTGAGTTTCCTGCCTGCAAATTGAGGTTGATACCACCTCACACATCCGTTGGTTGGTGGAAATGAGATAAAACGTATGAGACCTCATGACGGGAGGGAGCATCCGACAGAACAGCTGCTGAGCAGGCCTAGAGCAAAGTCGACCAGGAAGCAGAGGTTCCAGGGCTGACAGCAGAGCTGACAGAACATCATTTCCTAGGGTCCCAGGACTGTAATTATGCCTTGGTTGTGGGAATGTTGCTGCTAAGGAAAGTCACAGTGGGCATCTTGACTCTTAAGAACTTCCTCCCATGGAAAATCCCTATGTCTTTCCCGCTCTTACATTTTAAATTTGTACATGTCTTTAAATGTTGAGGCTGGCTGAGCATGGTGGTTCATACCTGTAATCCCAGCACTTTGGGAGGCCAAGGTGGGAGGATTGCTTAAGGCCAGGAGTTCTGGACCAGCCTAGGCAACATAGTGAGACCTCATGTCTATGAAAAATCAAAATTAGTCTGGCATAGTGGCAGGTACCTGTAGTACTAGCTACTTTGGAGGCTGAAGCAGAAGAATCACCTGAGCCCAGGAGGTCAAGGCTGCAGTGAACTGTGATCATGCTCACTACACTCCTGTCTGAGCAACAGAGTGAGACTTTGACTTTAAAAAAAAAAAAAAAAAAGTCGAGGCAGGGCATAGGTGACCTTTTTTGTTGAATCAGGCACAGATACTTGTAAATTCTGTGTGTTTAGTGGTTTCCTCCCCTTGCTTTCACTGCCCAGAATTAGGGCTTCAGTTGATTGAGGGAGTGGACCCTGAGCTCTGCGTATTCAAGAGAAACCTTAGAAATCATGAATTTGTACATGGTTCACTGGTAGCTGTGTCCTTCCAGTCAGACATCTGATGGATGTTGCTGCTGTCAATCACATGACCAGGAGAAGCTAGCCTCCTCCACTGTAACTTATATCACCACTTAGTCCAGGAGATGCAGTCTCATACTCATTGACTTGGGCCCCAGACAGGGCTGTGCTTTCACAGGAATGTGACTACAGAGTGACCTCACATAGCCCCTGGCAGTTCAAGGCAAGGGGAAAAAACCCTGAGTTTCCATCCCCTGTAGAAACTTGAATTTTGGTGCCATCATAAAGATTTTGGGTGATAATTTTTTTTTAATAAGCAAGTTTTTATTAACTTCGATCTACATTTAAGTTTTCACAATAATTTATGTGCCATAATGTACTTTTATGAATAATTTTAGCACCA